CTGGATCAATTTCTGCTCACCAGCTCCCGAAAAGGATGAAGGACAGAACCTGGCTAGGACCCTGGCTAAGAGTGGGAGAAATCACATGATTCCTCCCTGAGAAAGGAAAAGGCATGAAACCCGTGATGGAGCATTCCATATACTTTATGAAAATGTGCTTATGATACAAATATGTTATGTGCTTTATCCAAAATGGCTCAGGTAAGGTTAAAACGAGTCTTGTGCCATCTTAAAAGAATAACAGATTTATTTGGGCATAGGCTTTCATGGGTAAAAAGCACTTCGTCAGATGCTTGGCGTGATAGTTTGTTGTCCTTTCTTCCCTTCTGCGTGGTAGTACAGTATGCATTGTAAATGGCTTGTCTTATTTTGTAAAGTCCAGTCATGTGGAAGTTTGCGTGGAAGGTTATTTTTTTTTATGAAAAAAGTCTCAATTTTTGAGAGCTCATTCTTGATGTCCTATTTGCTATACAGGATACTGATTAGGTGGTTCCTTAGTTTCTTGGAGAATATGGCACAATCTCTCACTACAGTTTGCGTAGTATGTTGACTGTAATGGATTTTTCACCCTCAGGCCATTGGGTATGACGTCCATCTGTACCTTTAAAAAAAAAAAAGAGAGAGAAAGAGGAGTCCTGTAGCACCTTAAAGACACAGATTTATTTGGGCATAAGCTTTCCTGGGTAAAAACCACTCAGCTTAGATTGCCACTCACTGCTTGACTCTTCTTCAGGGCAGGGAAAGGAGCTCAAAGTGTCACTACTAAATACAAGATATGAATAGACTGTTTAGCAGAAGCAGCTAAGACATATTTAAAAAGACCATTGAAGGTGAAATGGCCTGTTGGCACCTCTCCAGTCAATGAGAGAGAGGAAAGAAACGGCGGGTGAGGTGGGATCAGCTGTGGAGAGGATGTTAGCAGGCTGCAGATTGTTGTAATGAGCCATGAAAGCAATGCCTCTATATTCAGTTCATTATTTTTAGTGTCTGGCAAATGTCTCTCACACATTCTCTCTCTCTCTCTCTCTCTCTCACACACACACACACATACACACACACACAAAAAGTCCAATAAAAGATATTACCTTCCCCGCCTAGATTCTCTAATATCCTGGGACCAACATGGCTACAATATTGCTGCGTAAAAAAGTAACAGTGAAAGTTTACGGCATGTAGTTGCAGCTACTATAAATTAGCTGTATAGTTAACTGCCATGTATCCTGTTTTCAGCTAAGAGACAACTCAAGACATGATGGCTGACTAAAGCAGACTGTACTCCCATGCATACAAAAACGGGGGAAAAAAGTTACAAGATGACAATCTTGAAAAATATTTTACCATGTAATTGAAGGCCATTCTAATAAGTCTGTGCACTCACAGATGTGCGTTTGCGCTGACATTTCCTGACAACCATGCACAATCATCTTTTAACAGCACAAGCAAGCATATGCTCTGAAGCCCCCACAGGGACCTATTATTTGTTTAGAAAATTACACCTGCGCTTGATACTGAATTCCATAGGGATATTAGATGTTGATTAATTGAATAATGGTGAAACTGTATAAAATTTTAGCACTCCCAGCCCCATTCCCAGGGAGCCCCCCGTCACTCCTCCCTTCTGCCTTTGATACAGAGGCAGCAGGCAGGAGTCGGTCTGCTCAGGGAGATGGTTTTTAAATTGCTTCCCCTTGCGGACTGGATCTTGCCAGCCACCCCACACAGCTGCCTCTGACAGAGGTTACTGCCACAGCGCTGGGTGGCAGTAGCCCCTGTTGACAGGGGGCTCCAGCTCCCTGTGGACAGAGGCTGTCCGGCAACCCACAGAGCAGTATTTGTCTGCGGCAAGCCTGGGCCCACTGTGGAGAAAAGCTGTTCTGTGTCAGCCTCTCCTGTCCCCCACCCT